AAAAACTTCTTCGAGGGGCTGGAGAGATGACTCAGCAGTTAAGAGTACTGGCTACTCTTGCAGAAGACCTGGGTTTGAATCCCAGTACCCACATGGCAGCTAACAACTGTTCGTAATTCCAGTTCCAGGGGATCTGACTGTCTCTTCTGTCCTCCATGGGCATTGGATGACATGGGTGCACTTACCTACATGCAGGAAATACATGCATATACATAAATTAAAAATAATAAATAAAATATTAAAAGTAAATAAATAAATGGGTGAACTACATGGTCAGAATTACATCTCAATAAACCTCTCTAAAAATAAAAGAATAAAAAAAAATCGTGTTGAGTTTTATGACTGGTCAAAAGTGGTATGTGAGTGATTGATATGGGTATTTTCCAGCTAAGACAGGAAGGGTGAGGAGTTGGGTCACTAACACCCAGGGCAGAGCACACCTAAGGCTGAGGGAAACATGGAGAACAAGAGGCGATGGAGGTTTGCAGCTATAGTGGAGGTTTGAAGTCAGAACAAGGTGTGGTCAGATGGATGGGTAGGGGCCAGCTGGTGCAGGCTCCAGGCATCCACGCCGGTGACTCTAGATTTGCCCTGTACAGCAAGGGAAAACATTGAAGGGTTTTAACTTGGGGAATGCACTAGATGGATTTGAATTTTTAAAAGCATAACTCTGACTGCAGGAAATTGATTTGAGGGATACGAATGGATACAGAAAATAAGATCAAAGGCCAATGCAAAATTCAAGGAGACAGATGATGTCTAAGAAATCCAAACTGAAGTACTTCAAGGAGAGAGTAGGTGAGGATTGGGAGACAATTAGCTCCTTTATGAAGCTGATCTGTAATGGGAGGAGAGAGAAGCAGTTGCAGCTGGAAGGGAATATGAGGTGGAAGGAATTCAAAAGATAGACGGAACTGGAAAACTCCAGAGAGAGACAGATGGATTTTGTATTCAGAAGACAGAGGAGAAACTTCATTCAATCAAGGCCCTCAAAGATGAATGGTAATGTGATAGAGAACACCATCAGAGGGAAAAGTCCGTGTGTGTCCCCCACTCCCACCCCCACCTGTTGTAACAGCAGGAGGGGAAAAGAGGAAAAGAGGAAGTGTGGCCAGGCAGGTGGATTTGAACATTTAAAGGCAGAACTTCCTTATCTTGCCTCTGGTTGTTCAACTCATGAGCCAAGAGTGAAGGGACACGGTACAATATCATGATGCCAGAGGGTGACGATGAGGGAGAGGGAACACTCTCAGGAGCGACGGTAGACATTAATGAAAGAAATACACCTGCACCCTTACACTATAATTCCTTCTCAGATAATCTTCCAAACAGGAAGCATTGGAAACTTAGGGGAGAATTAGGACTCCAAAAGGAAACAAAATAGAATTCGGTCACTTCAAAAGTTCAAGTGTGTAGGCCCTGCGTTTCAAATTAGCTTTCAAGATACACCTGAAGAGTCAGTCTTCATGTTGAATTCATGCAGATTATAATAGGCACAATAGAATTGGATATGATCTGATTTTCAGAAAGGAGTGAAAGAAGAATTCAATATAGTTGAGTCAAATTGAATACAAGTAAATTTGTTAATTTGTAATTGTTAAGAACTACCAAATGTTCATCAGGAAGTATTGGTGCTAAAATACTCTATATGCAGAGTGTCTATCACAATTTCCAAGTATACACATGATTCATAGATTATATAAATACTATTCAGAGAAATAACAGTTTCAGAGGGTATGGTGGTTAATTTCAGTTGTCAACTGACTGGAGTAGGAAACAGGTAGGAATTAGTGAGGCACACTTATGGGTGTGTCTGTGAGGGTATTTCCAGAGATGGTTGACAGAGGGGATGAGACATGACCTAAATAAGGGCCCACAAACTATCATCCAAGACTGAATAAACAGAAGGAGGATGAGGAGGAGAAGGGGAAGGAGGAGGAGAAGGAAGTGGAGGAGGAGAAGGAAGTGGAGGAAGAGGAGGAAGAAGAGGAAGAGGAAGAAAACCAGCAGAGCATGAATGTCCATCTTTCTCTGCTTCCTGATTGTGGATGCAGTGTACCAGCCACCTCATGTTCCCACTGCCATACCTTTCCCACTATGATGTACTCTGACCCCTCAAACTATGGACAGAAATAAACCCTTCCTTCCTTAAGTTGTTCTTGACAAATATTTTGTCACAGTCATGAGAAAAGTAATACAGAGGGTATCCATCACAGAACTCTTTCATGGAGAATTGGACACTTCAACAGGACATTAGCATAGACACAAGGAGATCCTAAATGAGAAACAACAGGGATAAATACAAGAAGAGAGACTTTGGGTCAGGCAACAAAGATGTCCTCAAGGATTTCACGGTCAGGCTGGCATGCTTCGTCTTTTTCTGTAGTGATCCAGAAAGCAGAGTATCTATAGAAGCATAGGTAGGAAGTTTCCAGGTTTATCTCTAGATAGGAGTACATACTAGCTGAAGATGCCCAGAAAGCAGGAGCACAAACTACAAGTTCCTTAGCCTTGGATTCTAGAGTACTCTGTAAGGGCTTCTGCTATAGCAGGGTGTGTTTGGGTAACTCTAGACCCTATACAACTCTGGAGTTTGCCCCATAAAAATAGAAGTAGAGGAAATGCAATGTGCTCATTGCTGAGCACAGGTCAGAGCTATAAATGCTGATGCTGTGGATGTACACCACCTGCCCAAGGCCAGTAGAGCTTGGATGGCCAGCTCTCCTCTCCCCAGGGTTGACTGTGTTGCTCCACATCATTCTGTTTTTGCCATTTCTGTTCCCTGTCTGAATGGGTCATCGCCCTTTCTCTTTAGACCATCAATTAAATGTTGTAAATCTCTCATTCATGACTTTCAGGTAGCCCTCTTCATGAATGTCTCTGGATGAAATATGCAGTGTTGGCCTTGAAAGGCCTCTGTTCACAAAGGTGAGCTTTCCGAAATCATAGAGAAAATAGAGAAATGTTTATATGAGGAAAGATAGGATTCTAAACTCACCATATCTTACCTGGTCCAGAAGTTTCTATCGTTTGCCTCACCTCAGCTGTACATGACTAGGTTCATCCACTGAGGAATAAGCAGCATTAGAATGAATGAATTCATGTTCTCTCTTCCCCCCCACCACCCCGCCTCTCTCTGAGTGTGAAAGCCAGAAGTGTACATCAGGGGTCTTCTTTAATTGTACTCTACCTTACTTTTTGAGACAGTCTTGAACCTAGAGCTGGCTGGCCAACAAGTTCCAGAGAGCCCCCTCTTTCTACTTTTCCAAGTGTGTCAGTATTACAAGTATGCACCATCATGTCTGACTTTTTATATGGGTGCTGGATGTCTGAGGTCCTTAGGTCCTTAGCTCCTCATGTTTTCAGTGTGTGTGGCAATCACTTTATTAATCAAGTCCTGTACTCTTAAATTCTTAAAGCTGATTTACTCAATGTAGAACAGGGCAAATACCTACCTCCTCACTTGAAAGATCTCAGTTCAATTTCATTGTCCTTTTCCAGCTAATTCCAACCCAAGCAGGCTGCCTCAGTGCCCTGTTATAACACATCTTCCCCTACTTTCTAGGTGGCTCCTCTACAGTCTTTTACTTTACCAACTGAGCTATTGAAGGGCACTTGCTACTTCCTAAATAGCCCAGGAGAGAGAGGTATATGTAAGGTCGACCAGCTGGCTGGTTAGGTATCTCTAAAATTTAATGGGAACAGGTTTAATGTACAGTGAGCTCAATGGGCTGTTCTTCAGTTCCCTCTTGGATTTATAACTCCCACACAATCCTCTGCTTTATCAAGCTATTGGAAAAAAATAAAATCTGTCTGCCAAGATCCTAAAGCAGCCTGGCAGTCCGCAATATATAAAGTAGTAATTGGAGGCTGGGGGGCAGTGGGGGGACTGGTAACCTGGCTGGCCTTTGATGGAATATTCAATATACCCAAGGAGAAAAATGCCCCATTGGAACTGGACTAAGAGAAAGCAGCCTGAGAATGTGCCTAGCCCTGGGAGGGGAAGGTGCCTCACCTCCATTTCTGTCAGGTAGAGTCCTTCGCCATCCTTGGAGAGGTTGCGGAATGCCTCTAGGATAAAGAAAGAAAAATAGGTTTTGGCAGATTGAGAGGAGGCAGGACAAGATGGCCCTCACTGTCCAAAGAGTATATCTGTCTTCCATTCCAGTTCTGTGCTCTGCAGTGACTTGGGATTCACTCTTCAACACAGCTGTGACTACTGGGACCTCTGCATTTCCAGATTCCATGGGGTTTTCAGGGTGCCTCATGGATGTGGTAGTGTCAGGATTCAGAGGTGTTTCTGGCCCTCTCCCCTGACTCAACCTCTTCCTCAAACCTAACGGCTGTTTTGAGCTGTGTTGAGGCCTGAGATTTCACTTAAGATTTCATCTAAAACATAGGCTATTTTGCTAAAAAGCATAGAACACTCTGGCCTCCATCTTTGAATTTCTATAGTTTGAAGAAAGGCCTCCTGCCCCATCTATTCACTTGTATATGGAATTCTTTCAGCAGAGACTGAAATACTTCATTTTATAACTAAAGAGTAAGTTTTAGTTATAAACACAACCTGGAAAGGAGACAGAGTGATTTCAATTAACCTTGTTCCTCCGAGAGGACCTGGACCTGAATAGGGTAAAGAGGAAAAAAGAGAGTTGGAATGGAAGAACATTAGAGAAAGATCGGTGTGGAGGAGAGGCTGGACAGACACATGGATAGCACAAGTAGAGCTGATTATTAAGAAAGAATATATGTATGTGGTGGTCAGTGTTAACTGTCAACCTGACAGAATCCAGGATTACCTGGAAGGTGGGCCTTGAGCAGTAGCAAGCATTTTCCCAAGTGTCAGGTTACTTCAAACTCCTGTTGCCTTGACGTCCCTGCCTGTCCTCGTGAACTGTAAACTAGAATAGTCCTTCCCCACTTAAGTTGCTTTTGTCGGAGTATTCTATCATAGCAACAGTAAAAGGAACTAAGTCAATTTCCAAGAAAAGAAGTGGTCCAGAGCATGGAGGAAGGGTGGAAGCTGATGGCATGGTGCTAAGAGGGTAGTGACGTTTCTGAGTCCTTTGCATAATGCCAGTTTTCTCACACGTTTGCATACCATGGCTTTTTCTTTGAGCCTGCTCTGTCTGTTACATATTGGCCCTCATTGGGGAAGTTTACAGTCTTCCTCTCTGCCAACTGGTTTCTTTCATACACCAATCTCACAGATCTGTGTAAGGTTTTTATTCCCAGACCTCATTCTCTGCTGTACTCATCTCTGGCAACATTGTTTGCAGTTTCCGGGATTCTGTCTTCTTAGACCAAGGGAGCCTTAGACAGGATGCCAGCCCACCCATTTCTATGTCTTCTCCCAGAATTGGGGCATCAGTGCCTTCCTGCTCATCTATTGAGTTCTTTGGTCACTGTGAAAGTCTACAGGATGTCCCCAGGGTCACTTACTGGCCATGGTTTCCAGACGCATCAGGAAGCAGGCAAGACTGGGGAAGCTAATCTGGCCAGAGCTATCACCGTATCGGAGTGTCATGAGACCCAGCAGTTCATTGCTGATGAAAACCCCTGTAAGGAAATCTGGGATGGTAGGGTAAACTGGTGAGCAAGGAGGAGACTGGAATGGGGTTGACCTTCTGCCTCATGAGGCTCAAGAAATCTGTTCAGAGAGCCCAGCATCTCCCTGTCATTCTACGCAGCTGGGTATAGAAGCCAGCCCGCCATACACAGGGCTTCTCTATCTTCTCTTGCTTATTGGCTTCTGGACCCCAGTGTCACAGCTCAGCCAGTGACTAACTCAAAAGACTCAAGACACTGACTATTCCTTTAGAAACATATTGTCCTTTTCGAAAATAAGATAATTCCCATGTAGCACCGGGACAGCTAGGGTTTAAGTCCAGCCTTGTTTGTCTCTGTCAGCTCTTTCTCTGCTGGAGATCTTATAAAACTTCCTTCCAGCTAGGTGTCATGACTCTCTGTGAACCTCACGTAAGGGTGGGTGCTGCTAGTGTGGGCACCTGTGGTTTCCCTATAAAATGGAGATTCAGTTTTAAGCTACTTGTTCAAGGAAAAGGTAGGACTCAGAAGGTGGCCTCAGCTGGATTGAAGATAGGCATCTTATCCTTTTTGGTCTCATCTTGTTATACCTCCAGTTACAAGCTCCAGGTAGTCACCAGCCACAAAGGAGATATCTGCAGAGTGGCCAACAACTGCTGCTCCAGTGAGTAAGAAGACACTTGCAAGCTAAGCCATTCATCAAGAGATGAGCTTGGTGGCCTGTGGACCTCATGCAACCAGAAACACATTTGGTTTCTGTAGTAAACTTAATAAAATGTGAACCAAATACCTCCAGATTGGCTTGAGCTTTCCAGCAAGCCACCTTCTTAAGTGGCGCTCCATCACCCCTTTAAGTTACCCGCCTGGCCCCTGAGGACTTTTGAGTTGAACTAGTTCCTATTTCTCTCACTTTTATTATTCTACAGTCATTAGTGAAGTCTCCTTTAAGGAGTCCATCTTTAATTGGACCTTCAGTGATTCTCTAGGTGTGGCTTCAGTTAGCCACCAGAGCCTCGCCTGGGAACTTGTTAGATATGCATCTTCTCCAGTCCCATCCCAGACCTCCTAAATCAGAAATTGAGCAAAGGCTCAGCCTTCCTAGCTCTAACAAGCCCTACAGATCATTCTGATGTAACTCAGATTTGAGCACTTCAGCCTTCCACTATGCAGAATTAAGGCAAAGGAGTCTATGCAGTGTCTTGCATTTCTATGGCTCTCCATGCCAGGAGCCATGAGAAGGAGAATTATGGAGAGAGTCCTTCCAGAGTTAACTGGGGGAATGTGATTTTACAGCTTATTAAGGAAGGTGGCCATTTCCTTAAGTAACCTTTTTGTGATCCATCTTCCCCATAGGTACAATGGAGGTAATGATTCCTGCCCTTCCCAGTTCGCAGTAGTGGAGAGACGATGAAATGAGATGATGTGAATAGTTCCTGGTGAACGATTAAGCACTTATGCACCCTAAGGTATTGTTATCATTATCCCAAGACTGAAAGCTTTGCCTTCTTGAAGCCAGCAGATGCCATTTGGTTTAATTTAGCCTCAAACTCTCTGTGAAGAGAGAAGTGAGATCATCAGCCTGCCCATGGCTATTTAATCCTGATGGCCAGACATTGAGCTGGAAGCTCCTGGAAGGTGAGCACCATTCCTGGTAGGGTATCAGTCATGTGGGGCTCTACAGTCAGAGCTGTGCTAGGGAGAAAAGACAGCTGGGGAGATTGACTGGCACAGGACAGCCAAGAATGGAGTTAGGGGATTGATATATGAGTCTGGAGTGCTGGAGGTCTACCAAGGTCAATGTAGATAGTGGAGGACATATGACCTAGCATGCTCCTCCCTCCCAACTGCCCAGCCTCACTGTGTGGGCCTTACTGACAATATGGGCCTCACACACGCCCCATGGTCCCCAGTCATCCAGTCTCATAGGCCCGACGTTACCTGTACTTTTTATGGCTTTCCACAAGTCCGAGCTCAGGAAGACTCCAGGGCTCCTTTGGATATTCTGGAAAACATGCTGATGGGGATGGTGGGGGGGGGGAGAAGCAAGAAGCCTGTGAGAGGTCAAAGGGTGTGGACAGGAGCAGTTCTGGAAAGCTTATCTCCACTTCACCATCCCTGGAAGGTGCCTTACCAAAGCATGCACGGAGCTACCTCAGAGGGGGTCAGAGGGGAGGATGGGGCAAGTGGGAGTGGGCACAGCCCTTGAGTGTATGAACTTGGTCACAGCAGGGCCTGAAAGTTCTGCTCTTCCAACCTGCTCTCCTTTCCTCATTCCACTCTTAGAGGGGCCCTTACACACAGGCATTTTGAAGAAGTCCAAAGGACTCTGAAAAGTTTTTGTAGGGTAATGATTGAGACTTAGACAAATTGCCTGGGGTTAATTAAATCCCAGTTCAACTACCTACCAGCTGTGTCACTGACTTAATCATGTTACTTCATCTTTCTAGGCCTCAGCTTCCTCACCCATAGTACAGAGCTAATTACAGTGTCTACCTCCTAGCTTTGTTGCAAGAAGCGAATGAGCAAGTATCTACAAAGCCCAAATATCCATAAAGTACTTAGCACTCACTAGTACCTAAGTGCATATGCTCATATGAATGCCCTCACTTGTCCATTAGTGAGTGCTGTGAAGAAAATATGGAAAGCAGGTTAGAACTATGTCCTGGCCCAAGCAGAGTTGCAGAAAGTAATGACCATAAATAACAGCAGTGACCACTGTGGCACTGCTCTTGCATTTACTGGAGATGTTTCCTCTCTACCTAGTCCTCTGATAATCCTGGCCCACAGCATACTTTCCAGATGAGGAAACTGACTCTCAGGTAGGTGAAGACCTGGTCTTGGATTAAGTAAGTAGCTGTCCCAGGACTGAGCACAGAGCTCCCCATTTTGATCTGTACACAGCTGCTCATAGGAGCTTTTCTAAGGCAAAGGGCAGGTGAGGCCAATTATGGGGGACAATGGTTGTGTGATAATAGCCTAGGAGCTTCCTCTTGGCCTTATTTGGTTTCTGGTGGGTGTAAGGACAGACTTCAAGTACTCTTCAATTACATAGTCGTCATTCATTTAGTAACTGATTTACTTGATCATTTATTCAGGAACTCTGAACACTGCTGTCTTATATATACCACGGAAGTCTCTGCAGAAAGACCAACATGAGGAAGCCCCACCCCTGGAGGACCGTACAGTATAAAGGGTGGGAGGAGACTGCCAACTATTGTAGTGCCCTATAAGAAACCCAACGGTCTAACGATAGGGATCAGGAGCTACATCCTGGCCCAACCACATGAGGGCACTTGATTTAACCTTTCAAAATGTTGCAGAGATATTAGGTGACATGGTTAGAAATTTAATACATTGGTGCTTTTCATATTTTAAAAGCAGACTATATATACACATGTATATGTGATTATTGATTAATTTATTTTGAGAGTTTTCCTATGTAAGCCTAGGTTAACCTGAAACTCACTCTGCAGCCCAAGCTGGTTTCAAATTAATGATCCTCCTACTTCAGCCTAAATGATGGAAATACAGGTATATATCATCATGTCTGGACAGATTATACTTTTATTTAGTGTGTGTATACATACCCATTATAGGACAAACTCTGAAAAGTATTCACTGGGTCTTAACGCTTTCTCTGTGGCTGGCAAAATCATTTTCTTTCTTTTTTCTTTTCCTTCCTTCTTCCCTCCCTCCCACAAAATATTAAGGCAGATAGTATGGCTTGCCTGTCAGATGTAGGTTAGAGGCTGAGGAGCTAGAAGGGACACTAATCAGACCATAGAGTCTAGCAAGGGAGACTTTGCATGAAAGGCTTGTCTGAGGCTGCATTCTTAGGGCAAGTGAGCCCTGACAAGGCCTCCGGTAGAGAAAGGGAAGAGAGGAAGGGCAAGTCAGAGTACAAGGGCATGGTGCTTAGAGGAAACGGCAAGGCATCTTAAAGTTGGGCTTCAGAGGAAGTAGGATGAGTAAAAATGGTTTCTTTTGGACCTGAAAATAGAGATCTAACTCAGGAGGTCTGCACACAACTCTGGTGTATTCAGACTGTCCAGAGGAGGTCATAACCAGGCCACAGGTCAACCCCTTCTGTTTTGGTAGCTTTTCTGGCAGAGACATTGGAAGAGAAGGTGATGGGTTCACAGACTAAGGGATGCTGCAATGTACCTGGGGTGAAATGAGGAGGATGCTTCTCCCTAGCAGTTGCAGCTACTGTCCATGGTGACCTCTTTCTCTAGCTTCCTAGAGTATTCCTCATCCTGCCTTCTATTGCATATACGTCTCCCTCAACAAAATGTGAGCTGTCTTTGGAGACAGGGGTGATGTTTCCTATTATTTCATATACCAAAGTGGGGCACCCAGTACACATTTCCTAAACTGGGTGAAATAAGAGTGTTGGTCACAGACACCATGACAGTACCTGGCAGTGGACAAGACGACGCCATAGTCTTCCAAACTCATCCTGGTCCAGCCGCCCATCCACTTTCAGCTGGAGGAGGAGTTAAGAGCTAACCAGTCCAGGGTGCATTGGGTTGGGGGATCTGCTTGTCCTGCCAAAGAAGCCAGAGCACCTCCATCCATCAGCTAGTAACCCAGTGCTGTATCACTCATACAGGGCCCTCTGCCAGCTGGCTGCCACTCTCTCTGAGAACAACGTGGCTTGGATTTGTTTTATAAAACAAAATGTATTATTGGAAGGAAGGAGCCCCAAGGAGAAGAAAGAGGCATTAGTTTCAGTTACTTCCAGCAGAAGACAGTAAGCCTAAATGTGGCTTTCACCGGTCAGTGTGGGTTCCCTAGCAGGGGAGGGGAGGGGAGGGAAGGGAGGTGCAGGAAGGGGACTTATAATTATATAAGGAGTGTGGATAGGTGAGTGTCCCAGCCCTGGGCCACATGTGAGGTTGGAATGTGTTCTGTGTGTGAATGTGGCCCTGGCTTCCCCTACAGGAGGCAGATGACTAATACAAGGAGGAGAATTGACTTCTGAGAACTGAAGGGGAGAGGCTGGGGGAGGAGAAAAAAGGTAGAGAAGACCTGTGTTCTATGCTACGGTTCTGTGCATAGGGCCTCCCCGGGACTGGTTGCCCTCATTATGGGGCTGCAAGGGCCATTTGGATTCTTCTGTGTCTCTGAGTGACTGCAGACCACAGCATGCTGAGACAGAACTGATTTATGATTTCATCAAGAAGCCCTCTTGTTCTACAATGGCTAGTTTCTCATTCACAATCGAGTCTTGTTAACAGTGTGAGAGAGGGGTGATCTGTCTCTCTCTGGAGACAGGCACAGCCTGGGGAGATGCTGCCAGGCTTGGGATCCTTCGGTATAAGTTCAGGGTCTCTCCTGCCTAGAGGAAGAGAGGGTGGGTAGGGGATAAAGACTCCTTGAAGAGGGCAAGTTGGGATGAGAGTTAAGTCATTAGAGTTTGGTCCTGCCACTTGTAGTCATGGAATTGGGCCATTGGACTGTCTCCAAGCCAGTGTCCACAGGTGCACAAAACAGCATGGCGGGGCTGGAGAGATGGCTCAGCAGTTAAGAGCACTGGCTGCTCCTGCAGAAGACCTGGGTTCAAATCCCAGCACCCACATGGTGGCTAACAACCATCTGTCATTCCAGTTCCAGGGATCCAACACCCTCTTCTGGCCTCTGTGGGCACTGTACAACATGAGTACACTTACACTCATTCAGGCATAATATTCATATACATACAAAAAACCAGCATGGGAGCCACAAAGGGGTGCCACCCACAAAGGGGTGCCACCGCTGTGCACTGTAGACTGAAGAGGTTTGCAAGGTTTTACAAGTTCTGAATTGGAGACTGGAGTGAAGAATCTAAATAGTAAAGACTTTTCCAGTGTTGAGGAAAAAGGTGAAAGGAAAATAGTTCCATTAGGATGAGATAATATTGGATGAAGTTAGAACATAAACCTTGGAGGCTAAAATTCATACTTGAAATCTATGTACAAGTCTGGCTGTGTAATTTGGGCAAAAGTACTAAACCACTTTTTCTTCCATTGTTCAATGAATAATAGTTCTTGCATCACAAGGGCTGTTGCAAGAATTACATTTCCTTATTATTTCCAGGAGCTTGATCAATGGTAACTGGTGCTTTTGCTGCTCTGGTTGAGCTAGATTTTAGAGTTGGTTGCTAGAATATATGCAGGACCTGTGTGCTGGGCCCTAATTAGACCCCCAGAGAAGCCCACAGGGCAGGTGTATTCATATAGCTACAGGAGGGGATGACTGCAAAGGATACGTCCATCAGAGCCACAATGCTCTGGCACTGGTCCAAGGAGAAAGTGTTCCCTGGAGGCCCTGAGGAGGGAAAAAAAAAGAAGAACTGAAGTGTCATTGGGGGTGGCAGCATGGGGGCTAAGCCTGGAGCCAGCAGGCCTCTGGGCTGACCATACCTTTCAGGAGTTCCTGATTGAGAAGATTCTGAAGCTGGGTGGCATCAATGTCCGGTCCCTGTTCCAAACAAGGGAGGATCATGGGTATCAAATGGGAGTCAGGAGCTAAGGGGCACATCCACCCACCTTTGTAGTTGTTTTCTGATTTCTAATCTTTCTGTCCCATGGCATGCCCACCTCCTCTTTGCCTTAGGCCTTCCCTTAGCTCTGGTCATATTACCAACTCCCTCCCTAAGCATCTGTCATGATGGTCACCCCCTGACACTAGGCCCTTGGTCTGGGCTCCCTCACACTGTTCCTTCCATTCATTATTGGAAGAAAGCCTGCTTCTTCTTCCCGTCTTTCAGGATGACCACTGCAGGATGAACTGGTGATACCCTTTGGGTGTGTTCTCCAACTTTTTTCAGAGACTATGAGAAGATATGATGACTTTTATGTGCACGTGTGTGTGCACATGTATAATAATGAATGAAAAATTCTAAACATTTAGGCTATGAGAAGCTGCTACAATGGAGCACATTGCTTAGTGTTCCCAGGTACTGAGGAAAAAGGGAGATGCCATGGCTTTCCTTGGTTTAAAATCAGAAAGCACTCCAGGTTGTAGGGAAAGAGGAAATTTTCTGAGCCTAATTTTTCAGGGAGTTAACTACAGTAGACCTTGCCGGAGGACAGGTACTAGATAGCCTGATGGGCAGTATGTTTGATGACAGTTTTACAGAGAGGCAGAGCTGCTGCACTTGGTGAGCTGGCACTGGAGTAAGGCTTCTCAGCAGGTGGATTTGTAAAGTACAGGTGGATTTGGGGTACAAGGTGCTTTCTGTGGGTCTTTTGAGAACCAATACCTCATAGATAACAGGCACACTGCCCCTTCCTTCTCTCAGGGCATAACCATCCTGCACTGAAAGCAAAAATATCCCATATCCTATTCTTGTAAGGTCCTTCAGCAAGAAACATAAACCTCTAAGACACTACTAAGAAAACATCTAGCCAGTGTCTGATACTGGTCCCTGGGCTATCAAGACAACCTCTCATGGTTTGGGAATGTTAGGCAAGTTGACACTAATGTGTCCAACATAAACTGAGTTTTTCTTCCAAAGAATCTTGACACCTCACCTTGAATGGCAGCTGACTTGCTAATGAGGGTCTCACCTACATGAGATCAATTGCCTACTAGCCAGCAGCATAAGGCATGGATAATGTCTGCTTCCTTTACCATAGTCCTCACATCTGGATTCCACAATCCTTCACCACCAAAGCATTGAAGGAACTGATGGCAAGGATGGCAGTGGCAGTTGTTTACACAACTTCCCAAAGAATTACTTGTGGGAATTGTGAGACATTCAAGGACTGATGTTTTGGTATTTCCAAAGCTTACTGGGAATGTCCTAGATGCTTAGAAAATACTTGCCAATTAAATTCATAAATGATGGTGGATAGATCTGTTCTATCTCATTCTAGAGCCCAAATTCATGCTTCGTTTCACACAGGCAGACCTGGTTATGGCATTCCCACTGCCTTGGTTAATAAAAGTAACTAGTCACTAGTGCCAGTGAGTGCTATCAAATCACCGTATTATTGAAGCTAGTTAAGTCATTGTGAGAGATGGGAAGAGAAAACACAGTGAGTGCATAGGAAATGTTTTGCTGTAAAAGTTAAAAAATTTTATTTGTGTGTGAGTGTTTTGCCTGAACGCATTGTAGTGCACTACATGTGTGCAGTGCCTACGAGGGCAAGAAGAGGGTGTCGGATCCCCTGGAACTAGAGTTACAGATGGTTGTGAGTTGCTATGTGGGTTCTGTTCGGCCTTTTAAGAGCAGCAAGTGTTCTTAACCACTGAGCCATCTCTCCAGCTCCCTTGATTTAAAGTTTCTTGGGTAGACACAACCTCTGTGTATAGTTTGGCGGTTGTATAAGATGATGTTAGGTGTGCCTTGCTCAAGTATGCCTGGCCAAAAGGTGACCTAGGCACAGTGCTGTGTCTATGTCCTTTTCTAATCCCCACCAATGCCTAATATGAGCTACTAGTCACTCTAGGAGAAGCCAAACATTTGGCTGTTGCTTGTAAAAGATCTGATTAGGGAGTCTGCACCATCCTATCACATGGCAAATTATATTTTTATTTTAGAAGTGCTAGGTGTATGGACCCTGTGTGAAAATTTGCCACCTGCCCCGAAAAAGCTTGGTCTTGAGTATCGTAATGAAGCCCTGCTGGCCACCCCAGAGCAGCTAACCCAAGCTTGGGCATCTGTTCTGGGGAGCTAATCTGTCTTAATTCAATCTGACAGAAATGATTGAGCACTTGTCCTCTGGGCCAAGGACAGTGATCGGTGGCTGGGGACCAGGAATGTATATGAAGTAATTTCTGCCTTTGGGGAATTCACAGACAGGAGACCATGATCCTCTGGGTCAGTCTTCTCATAGCACAGAGCTAGCCTGAATCCTGGGCAAGTCCTGATTCCAGGGAGGCCCATGACCAGTGGTTCTTTAAGGCACATATCCCTCATTCTAGCCACTCTTCGTGTCTCCCTCCTTGTTTTCCTTTTGGGGGCCAACTTGCATCTGGGATTCCACCACTCTATTAGCCCTCTGAGCGCAAAGGCAGGGGTAGGCATCCTTCCTTCCTCCCTCAGCCTCTCTGGCTCACAGCACACACAGTTACGTGTATCATCTACTTTCCACACTAACACTGTTATTAACGGTAAAAGGCCCATCCCAGGGAACCATTGGCAGCTCTTTTATCCTGAGGAGTCAAGGAGTTCTTTCTAACAGTTTATTAAACCATTAGGAAAGCCCTGTATGCACATAGGTGGCTTGGCAGGAAGAGTACTGTTGGGGCTTCCTGAAGCCAGCCAGCTCCCTGGAGGAACAATGCCAGGTTTGGGGGGAGGTGGCCAAGCCACAGAAGCAAAGATTTCAAGGGGGTGCTGCCAATTGCTTGTTTAAAGGCTTAAGCAGCAATACATTGCCATGCACACAATCCATCATTATCCTCTCCCTTTCTAAGCTTTATGTTCTATTGAGATGTCACCCAGATGGGGGTATCACTTATCTCCAGAGCTTGGCAGCCAAAGCATCTGGGGGGAGAGAGAGAGAGAGAGAGAGAGAGAGAGAGAGAGAGAGAGAGAGAGAGAGAGAGAGAGAAAAATAGGAAGTGATATATAAATTAACGGAAAAAAGTTTATTTTGACTCACAGTTCTGGAGTCTAAGATCCAGTGTCTTCTTTGGGCCTTTGAGATGACAGAACATCATGGAAAAAGGACACGGCAGAGCAAACCCTTCATGTCATGGCCAGGAGAGAGAGAGAGAGAGAGAGAGAGAGAGAGAGAGGCTGAGATGATTAAGTCCCTTTTGCTTTCTGCATTCTGATAAGGGTCTGAAGATGTTTCCTTCCCAGGAGTCTCTCCATCAGCTGCTAGGTAGGGTCCGTAGGTGCTAGATATCCTACCTGCTCAGCATATCTGTAGAAAATGCTTTGGTGGGAATCATTTTCTGAAAGACTTCCCTGGATCCAAGAGAAAATACTTATGTTATTTTTCTGGGGAAAGAGGGCACACATCTGGTATAGCAAGGGTACAATAAATCCTATCTGAATCTAAGGTAGAAGCTTCATCTGGTAGTTGGAGTGGGGGTGGGACAACAATCTTTACGGAAATTAGAAAACCGAAGTTAGTAGAAGGAAGATGTTTGGGTCCAGTCTGGCCTGGGAGACCTGGTCTTCTCCAGCCTCATCTCTTAGGGCAATCATTAGCCTATTATCGTCTGTTTTCCCCCATCAATGGTAAGTGAGGAGGAGGCATGGGATGTAGTTAAAGAAGGTCATCAAGTCTCATACCAACCTTGAGAGCTCTTAGGTTGAAAGTGTTGCTTGAATTCCTAGAAAAGGAGGGGAACAGTATGATAAGGATTGGCCCTGTATTCACAAGAGTCTACCTATGGGTGTATCCTACCGTGCCCGAAATCTCTGCCAAGGATGACTGGAAATCCCTCAATGTTGCAGGATGTGGAGTAAGTAGCCATGACAATAGCAGACAGACATACCATATGTCTGGTCATCTAGTCATTGAGTCTTCCATATCAAAATGCACCTGTACAGTGACTTCCACTACCAGATGCAGATGATGTTGGTTTTATGTTGCTTCTTGAATTGTCAGAAACAGCTACCCTTACACACTATAAAGACCTCTATGATTATAATAATGTCTGCCTCAGGCTCAGAGGGACAGGACTTGTTGGTCCCAATCTTGACTCACTGACTTGGCCTTTGAGGCCCTCTAGAACTCGAGTTTATCAGGCCAGTCTTTATCTCCTTGATCTAGCCCACATTCTGGCCACAGTTCAGACAAGTGAACATAATACATGGCACCACCTTCCTGGGCATATAGCCAATAATATTTACTCAACGAGTCCTGGGCTTTTCTTCCTCCCTGCTGCTTCTCTTCCACCTTAGCAGCCTTTCCTTGAAGCCATTAACTTTTGTTTACCTTCAAGTCCCAGTACAAGTGTCATTCCCTCAGAGAAGCCTTTCCCAGTCCCTGCAGCCAGAGGCTATCTCTCCACTCTGCCCTTTCATGCAGCATCTCGCAACAATCCTGTTCTGTTGAGGTCAAGTTATTGGTTTACAGACTTTCTCATTCCCCTTTCTAGTGAGCTTCTCAAGAACAAGACCCATATCATGTACCCATTGACATGGCATGTATTGCACATAATACACAGAGCACTGCTCACAAAGACAGAGTCAAGTAGAATAGAACATGTAGGATCCTGACAATTCTGTACCTGTCCCTGTCTGGCATCTTCAAGAATATTCGGAGCAAGAACTCAACTTCTTTTTGGCGAGCTGAGGGGACCACCACATAGGTCCCGGGGCTCAGGTGGAAGGACTTGGTGAAGTTGCACTTGGTTTCATAGTCTATGCCCTGGGCAGCATTTCTAAATGGGGAGAAAAATGTGGGTGGCAATCTCTCCTGGAACTCCTGGAACTAGAAGAAACATGATTATTGTGATAAAGCCCCCTCCACTCCACACACAGGCCCTGGCCACCAGGACAGACCACTGTCTTCTAAACCCTTCTCTGCTCACCTGAACAGTGTTACAATCTCTAGAAAGGGAGACAGTGCTGACTTAACTCTCAAAAAAAAAAAAAAAAACCCAAGCCAAAAAAATAGTATCAGGTGTGGCCCACATGTGGCCCATTACCGGATGTCACATACCCCCAACTAAACAAATTATTCCAAGACAGCTATGAATGTGGCCCAACACATTTGTAGATGGCAAAGCCTTGTTGTAATATCCAAAGGTTGGGCTTGGTAGACCCTAAAAATGCATAGAAACATGATGTGATGTGCTATTTTATATTATATCAAGTAGCATTCTGGCTTTCTGGTTTTCTGTTTATATGTAGAGAAAGCCTCCTTGGAAACTAATGATGCTGCTCCAATGTTGAATTTCTTCTGGGATCCCCACAGCCACATCTCCTCTAAGTCTTTAGTGACATGCTTTGGGCTTCCATAAGACTGCAGAGTAGAATTGTCTTCTTTCTATGTCTTTGGTCTCTCCAATAGAGTCCTGAGATTCCTTTTCATTGGAAAATAATGGGCCCCAATCATTTTCCTTTTATTTCAATATTTTCTTACAGATAAAACAATAAATATAATGCAATTCCTATTACCAGATGTCACATACATATTGCATAATAAAAACTCCTTACTAAACAAATTTTCCCCACTACACTAGAGCATGGGGATTCCATTTAGAATGGTTACACAGCATGAAATGATTATTTATGAGATCTGCCTTGGGGGAAGAATAAGAAGATGGAGGAAGTTTCTTTTAGGGGATAGGAACGATACTAGGCTCCAAGGTAAGACAAGAGATAGGCCCCTGTCCAGGCGGAGAGCAGCGGGCCGGGAGGAGCCTACAAAGCAATTCCGCTGTCAACAGCAGCACTCGTGGTTTGGGGACTTGATTTGCTTGGGTCCTTTTGGCAGAAGCAATGATGAGACGAGTTCTTTTCCAGAAGGGCAACTATGTCCCGTGGCTCTGGCTCTAAATGTGTGTTCAGAAGTGTGTGGATAGCCTGCCTGCTATAATCTAGAAGGTAAGAATGCCCTTGCTTACTGGCTGTCGTTTCCTTTTCCCTTTGCTATACTACTGCAGCCCTGTCCAGAATAGACTTGCTTAGTGTCAGTGAGAAATATGAATAGGGAGGGAGAGGAGGACTTGGTCCAGTGAACAGAGGAGCCTGCTTCATTTAAATACAAGGCTAGGCAGGCACAAAGCTGGCCCTGTTATTCTATAGGTGGGGTTTTTGTCTTTTCCTGAATCAAGTTCCCACCATGTTCTCAAGCTTGGGAACTGGAACTCTGATCCATTCCTTGCACCCGAGTGCTTCTCTTAAAGCCCTTCTAAGTGTTCACTTTCCATAGGTGGGGGACCAGGGTCAAGAGGCAGATTCTAAGCCTCAGCTCTGTGGCCGGACATGGCTGAGGGACGGACTTCCTTGCTATCAGCTTTCTGTCTGGATTTCTGAGTCTCCCTCTCTGGGAGTCCCTGCCCTTACCTCAGTCTACTTGCTGGGGCCTCCTTACAGGCATGGGGGGGGGGTCATGGTGATTCGCTGCTGGCCACGGCCATATCAGGTATCATGCCTTCCTTTTGGCAGCAGCAGATCACTACAGAGCTCACAGCCGCAGCAAGGTCTAGGCCTGTGAGGACAGGTCCTCTGAATTCCACTGTTTTCTATCCTTCTTTATAATTTTCAGTCACTTTTTATCAATATATGATCAGGCCAGTCTATTGAATGAGGAGGGTTAGCAATTTGCTTGTGAGAAGAGTTAGAGGATGTGCCTTAAGCTGTATGTAGACAGTGAGCATCAGTTTGCGGTGGATTTGGATCCTTATTCAAGAGTATGAAAACCCTTGCCAGGTATCCTTGACTACTGATCTCATCTTAAATGAACAGGAACCAGACGTATCAACCTTCTCTATGAAGACCAAATACCTTAGATGCTTTCAAATTTGTAGCCCCTCTTGGGTGGTTAAGCAAACCATCCATGGGGATTCAATCTGCAGAACAGGATGATAACATTGTAACTTGCTTTGTTGACCTGTTTGGAGAGTCTAAGCTTATTGATGATATATGATACAGCAAAGATGAATTTGCAGTCTTGGAACATTTGGAACCCTCAGTGTTGGAAGAGGTGTAACTGTTTACCAAGGGGGCAGCACCAGAGGTGTGGGAAGTTCAGGAAGAACAGCAATAAGCCATACCTGGGAGTCCACCTGTGGAAGACAGAAAAGATGTTCAAGAAGCCAGACCACAGCAGAAAGACAATGTCTCCCAGCCTGGCTCAGGGCCCATGCTCCTACTTCTCTGGTCAGCTTGTTTCTGGCACATACAGTACATGTATGTTCTTGGGTAGGACAGATCACCCATTCCCTGTGCAGTGCTATAAAACAAATAGGAAACCTACTCAACTTGTAGGAAACAGCAAGAAGAAGGAAACAGAGGCGGAAAGAAGTCACCTGAGAGGGGGAGGTACCCCTTTTGTGTCTTAGCAAGTTGTAGTAATTATTCACAGCAATGATAGTAAGGAGGAAGGAAAGAAAAAGCATTGACAAGCCCAGAGATAAGACAGAACCTCATTCAAATTCCCCAAGGTCAAATACAAATCCCTTGATGTGGAGAGCTTCAATGACAAGACAATTTCTTTGATCCCTTCAGATCACTGTAAACACAGTAGGAATTTGTTCTGCGAGCACTCTCTCTACCCTGGCTCTGTGCTTGTTGCTATGTATATGTGCATATGAATGGGGAAACAGCCATGTTCCACTCTTTCCACCAGTGGAAGGAAGCACCAAGGACACAGTTTCATTTTGTCCTCCTCTACAATGTGCAAAGCACTGCTCTATAGCATGATGGATATTCACCACAACACTGTGAACATATGCTAGGATCCTACTCCATACATGTGAAAATGGAGACTCAGTAGTATAGGAAGCAGAACTTGGGAGTACAGCAAGCTGTGTTGTTTCCTTTACAATGAAACTCTACCTCCTACCAAAACTTGTCCTTCCCAGTTAGCTGGGTTTTGATTATTTTCCATGTAAGCTAGAGTCTCACACGTGCAGACATATCATTTGATTTGCCCAGAGAGGCATTTTAGCCATGGGAGCTTGGAGAAAAGTATAAAACTCTAGCCTAAGGGAAGAGCTTTGGGGAATGAGAATGAAATAGCATGCCTAGTCTTGTCCCTTTCCACTGTCCTGACTTCGCCTGTTCATACATTGCTGGTGTCTGGCTGATGTAAGACAGAACAGTGTGCCCACTGCTGCTGGGGAGTCACAGGCCTGCACCAGACCTGATGCCCTAGTTCAGCTGTCAGTGCTGTGCTCACTTAGCTCTAGAGACTCCCAAGAGCCTGGGTGCTGGCATATACATAGCCTGTTGTTCAGATGAACTGTAAAGGAAACCCAAGCATCTTTGGACAAGATCTAGGCTGTTTTTTGGAGTTTAACTCAATCATGATCCTGAATGACTCACTGGGACCTCAGGAAGCCTGAGGAAACCTTGAGTCTGAATGATGTATGGAAGCAGCATCTGAGAAACAGTGCATAGCTGTCAGAACGAGAGAGGTGAGCTTGGGAGAATTTTAATTTGTGTTTTTGTTTTGTTGTTGTTGTTTTGAGACAGGGTCTCCTGTAGCCCCAGCTGGCCTGGAACTCACTATGTAGACCAGGCTGGTCTTGATCTCACAGAAATCTGCCTGCCTCTGCCTCCTGAGTACTGGGATTAAAAGTATATGCCACATGTCTGGCAGTTTGGGAGAATTTTTACAATGGGATTGATTACAAATTTACTATATCTCCTCAATTGAAAATATATTAGGTGAATCAGTCAACGCAAGGTGGCTATGTTGCTCAGTTCCAGGGCCCCAGGCTCACAGGTGATAATGTAAACAGGAGCTCTAGGGGTTGGGCACTGGGCCAGTCCTGAGACCCTGTCTTGGCTACTGTTTCATATTAAGGAAAGGAATACTAGCTGAGATTTTAGTGGACCTGTCTGATATCTGACCTGTTTGAGTCTAGTTGGGGAGACCAGGTGTCTCAATGTCTTCTCAGCTCTTGCCAAACTCTTCCTTCTGGCTCCTTCTAGCACTGAAAGCTAGGGAACTCAGAGAATGAGGGTCCTCTTAGAGGGCACCTGAGTCAGTAGACATTCTTGACTAAAGGCAATTGAAACCAACCCAGGCTGGAGAAGAGAGATTGAAAAGTCATTTGTTAGAAGATTAGGTTCCAGAGTCCATGGGCTGGGGGTGGGGGTGGAGTCATCTAAAAAGTGAAACTTGGAAGGTAGATGAGAGCTGCACAAGATGCTTCCATTGATAACATAACCATAGAGACTGGCCAATATGGACCCAAAAATTTGCTGTAAAATAACACTTGCGGACTGGAGGGGTACCATGGTTGTTAAAGGCTAAGGCCAACAGCCAAAATGTAAATAACATTTACCTGTTCCTGCCCGTTTTGTTTAATTCTTCAATAGTCAAATATTGGAGTGATCAGGTGTGTGTGTGTGTGTGTGTGTGTGTGTGTGTGTGTGTGTGTGTGTGTATGGAAGAGGAATGCGTAAGCAGACAAATCAGAATCACAAATCTTTTGAATCCAAGGCCTGGAGACAAAGAACAGTTGGTGTCTTTAGCTACTGCAGTGGGAGGGTGTACTCCTTCCACCAAAGTAGGTACAGGTGCCAGATCGTGATTAAAATGACAGCTGTCTATTATTGCATCCTTAGAAGATGTTCTTTGATAGCCCCGGTAGGCTTGGGGCAATTTAAAAGTAATGATAATGAATTCTAACAAATTTCTTCCATATATCACATATACCCGGTCATTTGGAGTTTTGACTCTTGATGAATTAAGTAAAAAGGTAGGACAAGCATGGGTTATAGAATGTGCTGAGAGAGTAGATCCTAACAGGCTTTCTTTCTAGAGCCAGAATCTTTGTTTTTCATGTTGCCCTGAGCACCACAAGAGAGGCAAAGTATGAAAGCCCTGCTGAGAGGGCCTGGGACCACAAGTACTGAGACCAAACTACCCATCAGCTCCAACTGTGCCTTAGAAAAGTGATTCTTGTTCTCTGGGCCTTGGCTTTCATATCTATACAAGTTGGGATAACTGGGGGCTTTGAGACATTGAAAGAGAACTCTCTAGTGACTCTGAAGTACCAGATCCCCCATGAGGCCTTCTTACTAGAGAGACCCACAGCCATGGTCAGGACTGTTCCCCATGGACAGAGAATACAGGAACCTTGCTTGGCCACAAATAGGCTAAGGTCTGTGTCTCTGAAATGTGCCTTGGCTCGGTGAGCAGAAATCGAAGTTGGTTCTGAGACACTAATCCCAGCTCTAGCGTAGTCTGTCAACAGACTTCTGAGATCTGTGGTGCTTGTAAAGGTGACAGGTATGTCCAACTGTAGGCTTGAGGAACATCTGGTGCCCAGTCCCAGCTCTGCCATTAACTCTGGCATGTCACTTCACATCCCTGGGCCCCAGTTTCTTCAACTCTAATGTGAGGAGAGGGGACAACTTACATTGCAGGGATTCATGGTCTTATTTGTGCAAGAAAGCTGCAGGGTGGATGGCTTGAGAATCACTTACTGTACCTTTGGGATACATTGAATTACATGGGAGAGGAGACAGCAGAGCTATCAGATTTTATTTGTAACTTTATTCTTTTAAATGTATTAAAAGGAAATGAATTCCCTGGTTATCTGCATCACAATGAGTGTGTGTGCTAGCACTTTGGAGAGAGGGGAGGCTGGTTATGAGTGTGGAGGAGGAGAGAGGATCCTGGGCTAAAGGGAAAATCTGGCTTTGGATGAGCAGCCAAACAAGACTTACATGGCAACCACTGAGCTATAGCTGGTCTTTGGTCTAAAGATAAGAGGAAAAAAACCTATTGAATTTAAACTTGATTTTTTTTTCTTAAGCTCTTCCACAAATTTTAACCAACAATCCTCAAACAGGGCATGAATAGGCAGCCCCTAAGGAGCCTGTTAGAATGCAGACTTTCAGGCTTTGCACTTGAAGATTCTGACTCAGGTGGTCTGGGGCTAACCCAGGAATCTTAGTAATTATAATAGCTGGTCTTAGAACTGAGATACAGGCATTAGATTCTGAAGCATACCAGGAAAAGCTAACAAGTAGCACAGGTGGCAGGTATGTGCCATCTAAAACATGATCAAGGACTGTAGAGGCGGCTCAGCAGTTAAGAGCATGCAGTGCTCTTGCAGAGGACCCGAGTTCAGTTCTTGGCACCCAGGTGCTTTACAGCTGCCTGTAACTCTAGTTCCAGGGAATCTAAAACCCTCTTCTAGACTCTGTGGGCACATGTACTCACACATGCACATACACATGGACACACACACATATACACATAATTTGTAAAAAATGGTCAAGTTTAGTCTTAGTTTTAGGTTTTCTTTTAAATTCAGAATTGAACACATGAATGCTACAGAGCCTTTGGTTTTTATCACCAAACCTGGGATATGCCCAAATCTCCCAACCTGGCCAGCGCCTCTACCTAGTCCAAAGTATACACAATATCCCCAAAAGGCAAGTCCCAAGGCGAACTGCTTACCTTGAACACTTGGAAGTATAGTGGAAATGTCTCATCTTCTGCCTTCAAGCTTTGTGACATGATTGTGAAGGCCACAACAGCATTGCTGCCTTCAGTGAGCTCTTGAACACCAAAGAGATACTGAGCATCCCTCCCAGGTCCTCCTAGGAGGAAAAAACCATTACTGGGGCTCCGAAACATCCCTGGGACTTTCATTGGCAAGCTCCCTGGGGTTGGGATGCAAACCCTGGATTTGGAAACTAAAGGCCTGAATCCCCCATGGTAAACTGTGGCACAAGTTTCTTTATATTTTAAGCTTCAAACTCTCTTAAAAACAAGGAGAGGGTATTGTCTCTACTTGAGTGGACATGTCTTTTAAACTGTAAAGGCAGGGCTGTGTGTGTGTGTGTGTGTGTGTGTGTGTGTGTGTGTGCATCTGTGTGCACATGTGTGTGGAGACCAGATGCTTACCTTGGGTTTTATTCCTCAGGCTCTGGCTACCTTTTTTTCTTTTATGGAGGCAGGGTTTTTTAAAGGCCTGAAACTCACCAGTAGGCTAGACAGGATGGCCAGTGAGCCCCAGGGATCTACCTGCTTTCATTTCCCTCAGCACTGGGATTACAAGTGCCTACTACCATGACTGGCTTTAAGGGCTATTTATGAGTAAAATTCTAGTCTCCAGGTATGTGTGAACTTAGGTACTCGTGATAACTATTAGGGCCTTGAAATGGCATCAGTCACCATGGATCAATGAAGATAGTGGAAAATGGGCAGGGGATGGGAGTCTACAGAGCTCCTGTACCTAAGCATGCTCATCCAAGCCAGAGCAAGAGAAGGAGAGGTAATGTGGGAACCAGTAGACTCAAGTGCATGTAGTAGTAGAGGTAAGTCAGAACAGAGATGAGTGGATACTCTTCAGAAGGTGTGGGTCACAACTAGAAAGCTCTGAAAGGTGAATGGGGAGACATGTCATGGACATGGGCTTTCTATGAGTACTGCATAAGACGATGATAAAAATGCACTTTGCAGCATATAGCGGGTGTTCTATTGCTGGCTCCCTTCCCTCACTCCCTTGTAAGGTATTACTAAAAATGGCCCTGATCTAGAAGTCTGGTTGGTTCATTGATATGCATTATATCTAACATGAAAAGGCTGTGTGGTCAGGCAGGCACACCTCAGGAAGAAGAAGAGGAATGACTCAGCGGTTCCTCAGAGTCTACCTATAGCCTACTTGGGGCCAAGGCTCTCTGAGTAGTAGACCACAAGAGCCTGAAAATCAAAAAGGAGGATACTTTGAGGTCTGGCGTCATTCAACAGACCTGTGGGCAGGCAGGTATAAACACATACATCCACACACCCAAATATGTTTATAGCCTCTTTCATTAAGAATATATTAGACCAGGCAGACTCCACTCCCCAGGAAGCATTCATCAGTGTCACAAACAGGAAGCAGGATGGGCAATGAAGGGTCATGACTCTCTAAAGGGCACAGTCAAGACATTTATTTCAGGGGAGCCTAAAGATCAGCTTAGAGGTGCCTGCTTCTGCTCTCACATGACCAGGCCATGGCTATTCACCCTGTGATTGGGTGGTACTTTTGGGGTTCAAGGGGACAGAGATTACTAATTCTACTGTTTACAGTTGGTGAGGCTGAGGATAAAGGGAAGAGGTATCTTCCCAGAGTCACAAAGCTAATGTGTGGTAATGACAGTGCTTTAACAAGGCTGTGACTTTTCTCTAGCGCTCTCTCCACAGCCTTTCCTGCTGTCCTGATGTTTACCGAAGAGCAGGGAGTGAGCTCCCTTCCCTGGAAGTAGGTTGAGGTGAGTAGCAGGACCTCTAGGGTGTGTGTGCAAGGCCAGGGGAGGCCCATGTAGATTGTCTTGCCCACCCCTACTAGCAACCATTGTCCTTGGAGCTATAGGCTGATGTCTTTCAGCTATAGGCTGATGGTCTAACCAGACCCAACAGTGAAAGAGAAGTGAGGGAAGAGCCGCAGTCTGGCAGAATGATCACCTCCAGGGCTTCCTGAGATCACTTGGTTCTTAAATATCATTTGGCACCATGTTTCATTGGCTGTGACTCCATGGTCTAGGGTAATTGGGATTTGGTTACATATGAACAGGCAGGAGAAGTTCTCTTGGAAATCTTCACATGACATCCTGTGGAAAACAGACACATAGCACTAAATGCCCTCTGGTTGCTTCCCCAGGTGGGGGTTCCCACTGCTTCACTATGTGCCTCTCTAGACAGCAGAAGTTCCCATGTGTTGACTCACCACTGGTCCACCCAAAGACCAGATTTTGTTTCTGGCACATTCTGCCCTGAGACTCTACTGCCATGCTTTGGAGTTTTGCATGTCACTTGGCCAAACTATTTCCTCAACCCATTAGTCCAACTGTGAATCCTCTCAGGGCCAGTGGGACAAAGGCCAGACTCTGCTCTGGGTCCTACACGCTGCCAGTAATCTTGACTTCTCTCATGGCCAAATCCAATGCTGAGGTCTTTATGAAAACAAACAGATGTCATATATATATATATATATATATA